AATTTCTGTTCTGCTCCAAATCTAAGTGAGCAGATAAAGTACTGCTTCCGACCAAGCCCTTAAAAAAAGAGTAAGTGGAGTGACGCCCCTAGTAAATGGCACTCAGGAGTAACTGTGTTCATCAGAGACAAATCAAACTGATGCTGCATATAAGTAATAAGCACATTGAGGATTGTGAGAAAGTTCCATCATTCACTTGACAAATAGACTTGTGGAACTTCTTGAGAGTAAGGCGATACTTAAGTTCAGATGTGAGCCTAGCTGCCTTTTGCACTGGTCACAAAATAGAGCATTGAGACTGATGGGTGGTGTGTGGTGATAGCAGGCAATAGGGGAAGAGCCCAGGAGAGTTCTTAAGCCTGAGTTCCAATCCCATATCTGCCATTGAAAGTCCAGTCATATCACTTTGATCATCAATTTCTCCCCCTCAAGTGGGACTCCATTTCTTTAAAGATCTCCTCGGTTCAAATATCTATGCATCCACCAAAGCAGCTATTCTTTGATTGATATGGAATTTTCAATTGCCTTAAATAGAATAATGGAATGACTGTTCATTTAGCAGAATTTTGTTGGGAGCCTACTCCATAGCCCGGCGTATAAGGGAACCTGGATCCCACATAGCCAACCTCTGTTGAAGCCCTGGTCTTGGTGGCTTGAAGAACATGTCAGACACATGCATATGCATGCTCAACATCTTGACAGGATAGAGAAATGGAGAAGAGATTATGGTATGGCCACACCCCATTAGGAAGTACTTTCTCCTCCCCTTCTCCCTGTCCCTGCAAGCACAGGCTCACTCTTACAACAATAACAAAACAAAAAAGCTCTGTTGGGTGTAGTAGATTCTGAATACAAGTTAAAAAGTACAATTAGGATTTTCTTTAATATTCTTTCTAGTTTTCATCACCCTAGATATATAAAAATGTTTGTCCACACTGTAAAAAGGATATTTCTCCTATGCTCACATAGAAATCTTTTAAGTCAATGCCTTGGAAGGCAACATGAGACTTACAGAAGACCTAGAAATATGAATGGGGCTGGCAAGGAAAGTAAAATATATAGGGAGTATGATGTAAGCTCTTAGGGAAATGGTGTGGAGCACAAAGCTGAATACAGGCCTGCGAATCAGGAAGTCAGAGTTCCAATTTCACCTTTTTCACTAATTCATTTGGGACCTTGAGAATGTCTGGCCCATTTAATCATTTTCTGCCTCAGTGTACATATTTTCCAATTAGAGTGACAGTCCCTGGTAGATACCTAGGATTATGAGAACAAATTATTCAAGGCTATAAAAATAAAATCAGTACCAAAAGTATAAATAAACAATATAAGATATTTAAATAAACTTCTAGTTACTAGACATCCTCAGAGGAAACATTAACAAAAATAAGTCCTATAAGAATCAAAATGTGAATATTTTAGAAGGCATATCTGTTTCAGAAAATATTAAGCAAGGCTATTGTAAGGGCTTGTAGTTCCAGGGATACAGACAAAAGGAGTGCAAACTTGCTTCTTAGTATCTATGTGACCTCGATCAATTTCTTTTTTCTTTTTTAGAGAGATATTTTGCTCTAGGGTGAGTGCACTCACCAGAGAGACATGGAGAGGCAGAAAGTGAGAAATTATTCCCCAGGGGGGATGGTCACACCAGAATCTCTTCTTCATTATTCTCTTGGGAATTGGGACACATGTGCACATACACCCAGCGTAAGTTTTAACCCACTGGGTTGGGAACTCAAACTATGGTCGACTAAGTGGGAGTTCAGCTACGTAACCATTACACCATCTGCTGATCCTTTCATCGATTTCTTAATTTCCTTAGGTACTCTCATCTGTAAAATGGGTATAATTGTGGAGAGTGGCCAATCTGAGCAAACATAGCAACCTTTAGACACATGCAGAAACATGGTTCTGTGAGTTCCATTTGCATAGTGATTAAAGCAATTTGCATGTGAATATGCTAGCTGTAGCATATTCTAAGGACTCCACATGTCTAAGGACTCCACATGTGTGTATAGTATTTTGCCCCAAAAAAGATCAGAGAAACTACATGGTGCCAGTCTTTTTTGCATCTTCAGATGATTAACATTCAAAACAACTGGCTTTACATTCCATTTTCTCTTCCCCCATTTTCTGTCCTCTAAAAGAATAAACCTGAGGCTAGTTCCAGGTCACAATTTCTCCATCAGAGAAATTAGGCCCACCCAATCCTCCCTTTTCTATACTTGTATGTCTGTGTGTGATTATTTTTATGTTTATTTCTAATGCACAACCCCCACACTCAGAAAAACACATTCTGCAGTAGGTCCTGGCAAATAATAACATGCATCTCAGTTGACTGTTATGGAGGTGCTTACAAATAGACTTAAAATTTCCTTCCTAAGGCCAGCAAGTGATGTGGTGGCTAAGGACACTGGACTCCCACATGGCCAATCATGGTTCAAGTCCTGGACCCTGCAGCTTGCTTTCTTACTTTCTTTCTGTCTCTCTCTTGCTTTGCCCGTCTCTGGTCAAATTAATATACATACATAAATAAATGAAGTTAAATAAAATAATTCTTTAAATTTTTTTTTTTAATTTCCTTCCTGAAAATAGACTTATTTTGAACCAATGGTAGGTTTTGAATTCATATCCACTGTGTGCTTTGTGGCCCGGTCAGTACAGTCTGTGGCAAGGTGGGAAAGACAGCTAGATCCCATTTAGCCAACTGTGTGGTTTGAGTCCTGGACTGGTGCCTTGAGAAATACAGGCACGTGTGTGTGTGTGTACGGTATGCCTGAAATATCAAAAGAAGCAGGAGAAGGGATGGTAGCACTTCCATTCTTCATGAGGGCTGCTTTCTCAGTTTCTCTTTCTCTCTCTCTCTCTCTCTCGTGAGCACACGTATTCTCTGGCAAAGTTGAAAAAAAAAAAAAAAAAAAGAAAACGAAGAACAGCTTAGTCACCCAGAGCAAATAATTTCTTAATGCTACTAGTTATTTTTTAAGTTCATTTATTTCTTCCATTAGCAAGAGATACAGAATGACACTACCCTCAACAGGGTCTTGATGCCATGACTCACCCCAACTTCAGCCAGTTTGGATCATATACCCATGTATGTTGGGTATACTCAGAGAGGTGTCCAGATGTGAACCTGAAATCTTCACTTGTGGGTCAGCTCCTCAGAACATTGTATTTTACCACTGCACCATCATCCAGGCCACTAATTCTACTATTTATTGAGCATTTACTATATTGCTATGATCTGCACTGTTCTAAGTATTTTCCATAAATTATCTCATGTACTCCTCATGAAAACTTAATATGGTTACTACTGTAGAAATGGAGGTCAAGAAAAAACTAAGCTTTATTTCTGACTATTGTGTTTCTTTAACCTGTCATGGTTTTTTGTTCTTGTTTTTCTGGGGTTTTTTTGGTCAGGTGCAATTAATTGGCTGTTCTTTTAATATTCTTAAAACCACTTTAACATTACAAGACTAATGCAACAACTAACTGAATATATTTATATAATATGCTATTTTATTGTGTTGTCATTGACCCATAGGGACCTGTTCTAAATTCACTTGGATGCTTGAGGATAAATTGTGCTTGTTAACAGTTTTTAGAAAGCACTGACAATGCAGGCACCCAGAAACGTACTAAGAAACTTAAAAGGAGGCTGCAGAATTTCAAATATGTTCATTGAAAATAGTATTATATGTATGCTTAGGAAACTAGAGTTATTACCAAGTCAACAAATATTAGTAACTATTCTTCCCTCAGAAAAGAATCTCAAGGCAGACTTGCTTAAAGTCTACTTTGTGAGAAGACAGGAATCTTCTGCCTGCTATACAGTTCTTCCTAACCCTTTAGAGTTAATAGACTATAAACTGATAAGGCCTCTCTAATAAAAGTGATTCCATTACACATTCAAAATGTGTTTACCTGTTTCAGGGCATCCACACACAGCCATTGCCCATCCTTTGACATCAGATTAAGAACATTGCCCATCCTTTGACATCAGATTAAGAACACCTGCACTAGCATTTTTAATTTTGAATTCACCAAATCCTCTTACAAAACAAATTCATCTTTGAAAAATAAATTAAAGGTGGTTCTTTGGCATTGAACAGTTGCATGGAGACATCCAATTTCTCATCCCCTAATCCTGAGCTTGGCTGCATTGCTGCAGGTAGTCATTAACTCTTTTGGGTTTCAAACTACTTTAAGTCCCTTCATACAGCTGCCACACTTGAGTGGTTGAACTGGCTACCCAACTATGTGTAAAATAATACCTAGTTTGGCCTCACCCTGTCTTTCCGGTCTTGGCCACACAGATTGACTCTGCCTGTGACACTGACTTTACTCACCCTTGCTTGTTTCTGGAGCTTTGCTCACAGAGTTTCTAAGATCCCTACTTCCTTCCTTTCCAAATCATACCCTATTAATCTCATCACCCCATGAAGCCTTCTTCATAACTCACAGTTCAAAATTATCTAATTTTTTGAAGAAATTTTCCTCACTTACCATTTGAAGAGTCATTAATCAATTTTGAACTATTGATAACTACTCTCTAATATCGTGTGTGTGATTGTCTTCAGAAGCAGTTAAATTATGTCATGGTCTTTACATGTTACTGAATGCCTATATCTGAATCAAGGGTTTGACTTTAAGGCAAGAACTTTGATCACATCCATCCATTTGGTTTTCCCTTGGGCAGCAGTTTTCATTAACATGGTCAAACACAAAAACAAACAAACAAAAATACCAGAGAACATGCTCTCAAGGTTCTCCTGGACTTGCCCTAAGAGTTAATGTAAGGTCAGAGTAGAGTCCAATTGATATATAATATGTATTTCCAGTGAGCTCCAAATGTTGCTATCACTGTTGTTTTCTTTTAAGCATGTCACATAGAACTGGCACATAAAACCTAATATAGGTTTGTGGATATTGATGAATGGCTTTTTGCTCCCTCTTTTTTTCTATTCTTATGCTCACATTCTGTCATTTCTTCCTTTTAGATTGACTTCGAAGATGTGATTGCAGAACCAGAAGGAACTCACAGTTTTGACGGCATCTGGAAGGCCAGCTTCACCACCTTCACAGTGACGAAGTACTGGTTTTACCGCTTACTGTCTGGCCTCTTTGGCATTCCAATGGCACTCATCTGGGGCATTTACTTTGCCATCCTCTCTTTCCTGCACATCTGGGCAGTGGTACCATGCATTAAGAGCTTCCTGATTGAGATTCAGTGCATCAGCCGTGTCTATTCCATCTACGTCCACACCTTCTGTGACCCATTCTTTGAAGCTGTTGGTAAAATCTTCAGCAACATCCGTGTCAACATGCAGAAAGAAATATGAATGACATTTCAAGGATAGAAGTATACCTGATTCTTTTTTTTTTCTTTTTAATTTTCTTGGTGCCGATTTCAAGTTTCAAGTTGCTAGTACAGCAAGCCTTCATGAATGAATTATCTTGGTTCAGAACAAAAAAATCACTATCTCTTCTGAGCTATTTCATCTGGGGTTTTTTGGCAGTCTGAATTTTTTAAACCCATTTAATTCTTTGTCTTTACCTTTTTTATTTGCGTGTGGATCGATCATTGTTTTATGGACTAAAATATGAAAATATTATTGAAAAATATTTGAGAAAAATATGAAGAATGAAGGAGAAAAAAAAAGAACCAATAACCTCAATTGCCTGCTTTAAAATGTTGATCATTTTATGGGAAGGGAAGAATTCCAGGTTATGGAAATTGAGTGTACAGGTTTGTGGGCAGATCTTAAAGCAAACTTTTTCTCCAACATCTGAAGAGTTAGTGGATCACTGCCATTCATTTTAATGACCCAGTGGGATCTAATGATCTGTGTCAAGTTAGGAAACATAATCTTCTGCATTCACATGATTCAACTAATGCCTTACTCTTCTTGAAATTTTAACCTACAATAGTATCTGTACCTAAATATTTGTTATATATTACAGATAACGAGACCTAAGTGCCCTCCTGTTTTGTTTTTGTTATTGTTTTTTTTACATTTTCCTTTTCAAATAGGATCTAATTCATCAACTTTCGCTAAGTCTCTCTAAAGATCGGAATTAGAAAATCCATTAGCTAGATCTCCATGCTTGTCTCTACTCTGAGAGAAGAGTCCGGTGAAGCTCCTGTCTGCACTTGATCATGCGGCATCTTTCTCCACAACACGTATGGTGGACATTAGCCTGATGAAACAAATTAAAGTGGACAAATGGGGCTGAGCCTCTCTGGGCTGGCAGGAGTGGAAGCCAACTTTCCCTGCCTCTCATCAGCTGAATGAGGTCAGCATGTCTATTCAGCTTCATTTATTTTCAAGAATAATCACGCTTTTCTGAATCCAAACTAATCCATCACTGGGGTGGTTTAGTGGCTCAACATTGTGCTCCCTTTTCAGCTGATCAGTGGGCCTCCGGGGAAGGGCTGTCAAAGTGGAGGCCATTGTGTGAGACTGTCAGAGTTGTTGCAAACATGACCCTTCTAAGTAAAGCACTTGCAACCGTCTGTTATGCTGTGACATGCGGCCCCTCCCCCTGGCCAGGAGCTTTGGACCTAGCTAGTCCAAGCATCACTTAGTTTAGAGAGAAGATGGGGGAGGAGGCGATAATAAAAGATGGAGGTAATTTTGCTGGAATCAGTTCAAATTCTTATGAACTCAAACTGAGGAATTTCACCTGTAAACCTGAGTCATACAGAAAGCTTCCTGGTACAGCCAAAAGCTTTTTATTCCTCCTGCTCATATTGTGATTCTGCTCTTCGGGACTTTTTTTTTTTTAACCTTCAGTTATGCTTTTATTTTTATTTTCATACGCTCAATTTTTTTTTTTTTTTTGCTTCTTCCAATTTTCCTGACACTTTAATTACCAACCTGTCGTTACCTACTTTAATTTTTTTTTTTTTTTGCATTTAAAACAGACACTGGCATGGACATAGTTTTACTTTTAAACTGTGTACATAACTGAAAATGTACTATACTGCATACTTTTTAAATGTAAAGATATTTTTATCTTTATATGCGGAAAATCACTTGGGAAATGGCTTTGTGATGCAATCTGTAAACTGTGTATCCCAAGACATGTCTGTTTATATAGATGCTTAGTGCCTGATGCAAATCAAATGCTGGTCCAAAAAACTGCTGAAATTTTATATGCTTACTGATATATTTTACACTTTTTTTATCCTGCATGTCCTATAAATGTTACAAGTCTCCACAATAAAAATGTTTAACAGTTCAACAGTCCGTTTCATCATTTTCCCCCCAAATAGGTGTTTATGTGTCATTGTCTATGTAGCTGTGTCTGTGTGTTTGCATACAGAGAGCATATGCATGGTATGTGGTATATATCTGTGGTGTGTTTGCCAGGGGGAGGGGGCACGGCATTCCATTTTTCAATATTTCAGTCATTTAAGTGGGCTCTTTCTGCTAAGATCATGACCATTCATAGTTCAGACAAAAATTTTAATTAATACTGGAGGGTTTTTTTTTTCACAATTTATCCAATATTTTACGTATGTCATCTCATTTGAGCCCCCAACAACCTTGTGTGATAAATACTAATACTCTTACTTGGCAAATAAAATGGTTTCTATTTGAGGGGTGATGCTAGCTTTGTTATGCCTTAAGTGAGATTTTTTTGAGAGTTATTATTTCAGTCACAGTTTATTTTTATTTTTGTTTTTGGCTAAGTCTACCTTCAGGAGTTTTATATTAGTCAGGGTCTTTAGCAAAATGTTGCCAACAGGAAATATAGATAGAGATAAAAATAGAGATAGCAAGAAAATTATTACTTGAAGGTCTGAATACAACAGACTATTTATATTTAGTTCCATCCCTGGACTCAAATAACGACATAGCTTTGGACAACTATTTGTCCATATTGGGAATACACAGCTTCATATGTCACACATTTTAGTAACATAGTAATACACATCAGTCCACGGGAGTGGGGCTCAGTCTGAGTAGCTGACTCATGCATTCTTTAATTTAGGTGCTAATATTCAAACTTTTTTAAAAATTATAATCTGCATGTATAATTTTTCTGATGTTCATAAATTTTTTCCTATTTTATGAAAACACGATTTTAAATATTCACAGCTTATTTACTTCTATAAAATTGGCAGGGGGTTAAAGAAATGTATCCTTGATATAACTCAAAAGGATGAAATCCTTAAAAAAGATTATAGCTTTGGGACCAGCAGGTAGTGTGGTGGTTAAGGTACTGGACTCCCACATGGCTGATCATGGTTCAAGTCCCAGACCTGGTGGCTTACTTCCTCTCTCTCCTTCTCTACCTCTCTCTGGTGAGTGCACATACCTTGTAGCAAAAATGATAAATTAAATTAAATAAATCTTTTTAAAAAATCATAGCCCTAAATACATAAAAATGTTAAACTTGAAATATCAAAACAGGTGGAAACAAGTACAAAACAAATGAAGATTTACTTTATGTATATTACTATATGCATTATAATATATTTGAAATATAGAGAGCTTTCATACATTTTTTAGAAGATGAACATACCAATAGGAAACAGATGAAAATAAGAAAAAATAATTCATAAAGGCAAGTATGAATCAAATTACACTTATTAGTGATGAAGTAGTAATAGTCAAAACAGTGTGGGACCAGCAGTAAGCATAATGGCTATGTCGCTGGACTCCCACGTAGTTGAACGTGGTTCGAGTCCCGGACCCGGTGGCTTAAACTCACACCGGGCATGTGTGCGTGCGTGCCCAAGATCCAGAGAGGAGAATGGAGGAGAAGGGATTGTGGTGTGGCCATCTCCCCTGGGGGGTGATTTCTCGCTTTCTGTCTCTCTGTTTCTGTCTGTCTGTCTGGCGAGCGCACACACCCTATAGCAAAAACCTCTCAAAAAGAAAACAAAAAAACAAACAAACAAAAAAAAAAAAACAGTGAAATACCATTTCACCTAAGTTTGCAGAGATTAAACACGGAAGTCATGTCCACATTGATAAGGACAGGAAAGCAGGCACACACACCCATTGGTTCTGTGAAGGTTACTGGCACAGTCTTTCAGAGGACAAGTAAATGTACATGTGACTGATCTCACAATTTCATTTACTAAATAAAAACAGGCATACCAAGGTCCATTATCATAGATGTCCACTATTTGATTGTCAATAGTATTAATAAAATAAATTGGAAACAACCTAAATACTCAAAAACATTACAGCATATACATTTAAAAGACTATATTTGCTTTTCAATATTTTATGTAATAGAATAATTAATGACATGGATATATAGTTGTGATATATTATTAACTTAAAAACTACAATTAAAAGTTGTCCATACGGCCAGCAGAGGTAACTAGATAACTAGTGGAATGTTCACATAGTAGACTGAAATATAGCAGTGAAAATGCTTTTACTATAAAAACGAGAGGGGATTCAAACACCATTTGCACCATTTCTGAGTTCCTGTAAGACACTTACAGGCATTACTGCATTTGCACAAGATTTCAAAATAGATGTTGGTGTCCCCATTTTACAGGAAGGCTTAGAGAGTTTAGGGAGTCACCAATTCACTTAGCTAATAAGTACTGGAGCTTTGTCTAATCCAGGTGTGTCTGACAAAAAGCCCTGCTCCCTCCACTCCTATATCCTCTGGCTCTATGTGGTTTCCAAATCCTAAGTTCTCCTTCTTTTTACAGAGCTTCCTTTTCTCACAAACTTGTGGAATCTTTTATATATAAATGTTTCTGAAATACATAAGCAAATAATGTGATCAGAGTTGGAGTAAACTTTAATGATAATTAATCATAGAAGTTACATAATAAGCCCAGGTCAGCCCATGGCATGATGGTTAAGAGAGTTGGATCCCACATGGCCAAGTCCTGAACCCATCAGCTTGAGAAACACACTGAGTATGTGTGCATACATGCCCAAAATCTCAAAAGGAGGACAAATGAAGAGATTGCAACATGATTGATCCCCTGGGGGATGCTTTCTCACTTTATCTCTCTGCCTCTGTCTCTCTCTCCAGCAAGCACAAATGCCTTCTGGCAATTTTTTTCTTAATGATAATTTCTACAAACCAAATCTACTTTAAATGTATTTGTTTACTTAATTCTCCCCATAGCTCTATATGGTGAATATCATCGTTATCATCTCCACTTTACAGATTAGGAAATTGAGTCACAGGAGTCAAGTAACTTGGGCATGATAATGCCAATAAAACCAGAAAGCAAGCTGAGTCTCAACTGAGTACAAGTAATAGGCAATAATATGTGTGGCAATTAAAATACAAATTAAAATATTTTATATTTAAATTATAAATTTAAAACTGCTCTGGCAATTAACCAAAATCTTTTATTTAAAAGTTTAAATGTAGGGGTCAGCAGGTGACATGGTGAGTAAGGTGCTGGACTTCCACATGGATGACTGCTTGCTTATTCCTTTCCCTCTCTCTCTCTCTAGCTCTATGCCCCACTGGGGGTGATTTTCCCCTCTCCCTCTCCCTGTCTTTCTCTGGTGAGTGCATGTGCCCCATAACAAATTTAAAAATAATAAGAAATATGAAATCATTCTTTTTAAATGCCTAAATGTAAGTTTTTCCAACAAAAAATGTTTTACAATAGTGTATGTTTGATGACATTATAATTCAGTACATTTCAAGATCATAAAATGACTTGTGATAATGTGCAAATTCTAGGATAAAGATTTCAATGATGAAGAAAAGCACTTTATACTTTTGTAAGTGAATCATATTTTTAATTTATTTATGCCAAAATTTAACCATATCAATGAAATCAGATTGGGTAAAGATAACTGATAGAATCATTGTTTGGGATCCATTCCCTGGTCTGGTGGTTAAGGGAGCTGGATCCCACATGGCTGACTGCACCGTTCAAATCAAATCCTGGCCCAAACAGCTTGAAAACACATTTGGTACATGTGGATGCATTCCCAAAATCCCAACATGATATATAAAAGGAGGAGTAAGGATTGTGGCATGACCATGTCTCATAAAGAGGTATCATCCCTCTCCTTTTCTGTCTATTTCTCTGGCAAAGATACAAAAACCAACCAAACAAACAAACAAACATTTTACAGTTAAGATTCAAAACTATTATTTACTACTTTTTTCCTCTAAAAATTTCTATTCCTTTGATTTTTTCATATTTACTCTCAAATCTACTAGTTGCCTGAGCAATAATACATTTCTTTAGGTGATGGGCCAGCAGACAGAGTGGTGATTAAGATGCTGAATCCCACATGGCTGATTCTGTGGTTTGAGTCCTGGACCCAACAGCTAGAAAAACATCATGGGCGTGTGCGCCTGCGTGCCCCAAATCCTAAGAATGGAAGAGAAGTGATTGCAGCATGGCCATCCCAGCTGTGGGAGCAATTTCTCATTTTCTGTCTTTTTCTGTCTAGAGTACATGCCTTAAAACAATAACAAAACCTAACAATGACAAAAAATTCTCTAGGTGTTATTTACTACCCAACTTACTCGTGCCACCAATACAAACTCTCTTTTCTTCCTACAATGGACAAATCTACTTACATTTGTTCCTGTCCTCTTTTCCTTCTGCTAAAAAGTGTAATTCCCACTCCTACCGAAAGCTATTTCCTTTGTATGTATTCTGAATCTTATCCTTTCTTATTTTCCCAATATTTTTTCTCCTTTGCTTGTTTCCTTTATATCTTTACTGTCAATATTCCTCTGTATTCTTTTCTTCTTCTTTATGAAGAAGGAAAGGGAAGGAGTCAAAGGTAGATATTTTTGAAAGGGTCCTACTGTGCCTCAACCCTCCCAGTTAGCTAGGATTATAGGAGTGCACAACCATGACTGGGTTGTTCAGATTGTCCTGAAACCAAACCTGAATTTCTCTGCATTCTTGATTGTTCCCACAAGTCTGCAATATTAAGCATATCTTTCTCATTAAAAAAATTTTAAAAAACTCTCTCCTTTGCCTTCAAATCCTTCTATAATCATTGACTATTTTCTCTTTCTTTTAGAGACATATTCTTAAAAGAATGATCCATAGTCATTGTCTAAACACTATTAAATTACCTTCACTATAATTATATTCTTAACACAAATAGGTTTTTATAATAGTTTTGTTTTGTTTTGTTTTGAACCATAGGAACTCAGATACATGTATAGACATAGTCATCGTAAAATGTTATTGGTCCATTTGGGGCTCTCATTTATTTTACTTATTTTGCCATTTAGTTATCATTATGAATTCATCACCATATCAAAGA